ATCTAAAACCCATGAGGGCTATGACATTATTTAATTAACCCTGTGGTTTCTCCCTTTGTGGACTTGGAGTAGGCTGAATAAGGGATTTTAATGCTGGTTGCTATTTCCTGCCATATGACAGAAAGCTGACAATTACCAATCAGTACCCCTCCTGAAGGACGTATAATAAAGTCAGAAAAAAGTCAGACGAAGATTTAGGAAGGAAATATAATTCCTAATCCTTTTGAAAGTTTTGCCAGAAAGGCTATAGGTGGCACCTGTTTTTCAACTGTGTTCGCTTAATGAAATTCTAATTCTTAGACTGGCAAATACTAAAGGATGGTGCTATAACTTGACTGAGGAGTCAGAAACGGGTGATAAGTTAAGTTGCTCAGTCCAAAAGCCAGTATCTCTAGTAAGCAGATTGGAAACGTTCACACTTGCTAATGTAAATAATTCCCAGCCTGGCTTTATGGTAAGTCTTGCGTCATCATCCAGCTGTTATGATATTTCTGAGACTACGGCCTCTCTGAGCAATGTCTAATTAGTTACAGAATAACTGATTTTCTTCTGTTTTGGTGGGAATACTCCTCTGGGACTCTTAATATACTTCAAATTATACTGAGATTTATTGTGAGATAAGACTTCCTATTATCTTGCCATCCCAAATGTTCTCTGCTGCTAGTTCTCACTCCCCCACCAACTCTCAAATGTCTTTTTAGGTCTAGTATCCAAACTCCTTAGCATATATTTTTCCTTTCTCTTATCTCTTCTGTCTGTTTTATCCTAATATTTATATTCTATAATAATTTCCTTTTCTGATATCAAATACCTATATAATAGGATTTCTTTTTTTTCTCTAAAGAAAGCTAACATCATGAGGAAAGAGCTTTGAGGTATGATTTATAGGAGTCCAAATTCCTATTTCACAACCTACTAAATGTATGATATTGGGCATACTACTTAACCCTTCTTTGCTTCCATTTTCTCACCTGTAAAATAGAGTTATCAATAGCTACCATACATATTTAATTCTGTTGTGAGAATTAAATAAGAAATGAAATGTAAAATTGTTTACACAGTCCCAGGTCATAATAGATGCTCTCCTCAAAGAACCTTGAATTTGATTGCCACATTATTATGGGCTGAATTGTGTCCCTCCTATCCCCAAATTCTTATTTGAAGCCCTAACACCCAGTACCTCAGAATGTGACTGTATTTGGAGATAGGGCATTTAAGAGAGTAAGTTAAAATGAGGCCACTAGGGTGGGCCTTAATCCAATCTGAATGGTGTCCTTATAGAAGAAAATTTGGACACACAGAGACACCAGTGATGCACACCACAGAAGAAAGACCATGTGAGGATACAGTAAGAAGGAAGTAATATACAAGCCAAGGACAGAGGCCTCAGAAGAAACCAACCCTGCTGACACTCTGATCTTGGACTTCTAGCCTACAGAACTGTGAGATACTTAGTTTCTGTTCTTTAAGCCACCCAGTCTGTAGTATTTTGTTATGGCAGCCCTAGCAAACTAATACACATATATTCACTATTTCAGAAGAATTGACCCCCACACTTCTCCTGTTCCTGTTTCTATTTAATCCTCTACTTAGTGATAGGGCAGTGATTAAGAGCATAATCTTAGAAGTTAGCCTTGAATTTGAAGACTGGGTTATATACATAAGTGAACTCAGGTGAACTTCTCAAATGTTTTTGAGTCACAAATTTCTTCACGTGTGAAATGGGGATAATACCTATCTCATAGAGTTATAGTAAGGATGAAGTTTAAAAAAATACTTATAAATTTCATAGTATACTGGCATACAGGTGCTCAATAAGTGGTAGAATTTATCATCTCTGTGTATGATGGACCATTTGCCTGCGTTTTGTCAATTTGGCTTAGTTTTCTCCAAGCCTAGTCAGTTTAGTAAACCTTCTCTTTGTGAAGGGCCACACACATACATACTTTCTACGATTATTTGATTATTTTTGGGGTGTGGAAAAGCAGCATCTGTTAGCTTCATTGTTGGCTTGAAGCCAAGATCACAAACCCATAAAGTGAGTTGTAATATATTTTAAACATATATCCGAAAAATCCTTCTAATATATTAGACTTGTTTAAATGATCTGATAACTTTTCTCCAAGGACCAAGTTAGGCTATTTTTCTTTCTTGAAGTTCTTCAAACTTTTCATTTTAGGAAAACATCATGGCTTATCAGAAACTCCACTCCATGAGGTATTCTAGTTTGCAGTAGAAAGAACATAGTTCTCCAATTTTAGTATCTGACTCAATTCTAAAGTTCTCTATATTATTTATAAGGTATCTTTCATAGTCTGGTCTCATTCCCTTTACCAGATGGTTTACAGAATAACATCTTATTTCTCTTTAATTAATTAAGAATGGAATTTGCTTCCATAGCTATTTCACTATGCTTCTCTTACCTAGTAAGATTTTTAGGTTATAAATGTTTATGCTGTCTCCTCATGTACATAATTCACCCTATCTCTTGCTCATTTCTATCTTTTGCTCACAGTTTGTAAACTGGCATCATAATATCCTTTGTCCCCAGTGTCTCTCTCTCTCTCTCTCTCTGTGAGACTGCAATTATGTGAAGGTTTTTACTTGCTATAATTTATTCAAATTAATATTTACTGAGCACTTACTATGTATAAGACACTGTGCTACGTATCTACTGTGGAGGAAGAAGAATATTTAGAATAGCCTCAAAGAGTCCACAGTCTCATTCTAATCATATTGTTTTAGGCTTCTAATATTTGTTTGAAAACATTTATATATTCTGATGACTCTTATTCCACTTCCCAGTCCTATTTGTTGTCCCATCTGAAGAGATACCTACTCTGTCACCTCTTTTTAACTCAAGAAAGCCAATGAATTCCCTCCAGGTCCTCAAGCAGAGTCTTTGTCAATCTGTTTTGTGTGCTTTTTCATTCTCAGTTCTCCCATAATTTTTAGAATAAAACCACCACTTAGTTTGCTAAGATAGTATAGTGTTAGTGATTAGCAGCTTAGGGGGGTTTCTTGCAAACATTACCTCTCACTTTGCTGAATTAGGATATCTTCTTTCTTCATTCTCATCAAAAGACCAAACGATCACTTGCTATAGATTTGTTTCCCTTTATTTGAAAATTAAGGAGTTGCCAATAGACTTTCTGATGAAGGAAAGGAGGGCATCTAAATCCATTATTTTAGACCACAATGCCTACTTCTCAAAGAGTTGAAGCAATTCCCCTCTCCCCTTTTTAAAAGAAAAGCAAGACATAAAAAAGAGGAAAGCAAACTCTTCAGCCTCAGTAGGCATCCATGCTTAGAGGTGAAACGGGCCAGGAAGAAGAGAAGAAAAAGAAGAAAAAGAGAGTAAGGACAGATACACATTGTTAGGAATCCAATATAAAATTTGGAACCCTACTAAAATAGGTTTACATCAGACATGGCATTTGCTTCACCCTTATTTTTACCCCTCCAAAACCAGATATAATTGGGTGCCATCTCATAAATCTTTTACTAATGACTGTCAATAACCCAAATGTTCAAAACCCTTTAAGCACCTCTTATGTGTGAAACATTGTGTCAGGTGCTGAATAAGATAGGAGAAATATACAATACCATGTCTGACTACAAGAGCATTACTTTCTAGCTGTGGCAATAAGAGACTACTAGGCAGTATTGGAGGGGTCCTTGGGAGGTCTCCAAAGGAGTAAAATAGTACTAAAAAAATAAAAAAGAGAACATGAGCATTGAGCTGAGGATCCAAAAAAACTGGGCTCTATTCCATCTCTGCCATTTCCTTGCTATGTGACCTTGGGCAACTCATTTCTCTTTCAGGTTTCCCCTTTCAGATGACCTCATCCCTTCCATTCCCTTCCTCCAAAGGGAAAAAAAAAGAGAGAAAAGAAAAGAAAGAAAAAGAAGAGGTTATCCTAGAAGATCTCTAAAATGTAAGAATATATGGGATGATTACTAATAAGCTCTGTTGCGTTGCCCAGATTGTAGTCTACAGCTTGCTATGGCCCCCTGAGCTGCCCTTCATTTTCGGAGATGAAGAAATCGAGGTCCAAAATTCCCCAAATTCAGTAGCAAGTTAGGACTCAGAACCACATCTTCCCATGCATCTTTCAAAATGATTATAGTGACTCATAGGAAAAGCTTAACAAATATTTTTGACATGGCTTACTAAGTGAGAGAGATGTTTCTTAAAAATTTTTTTTGTATATATGAAAATGGGGGGAAGGGACAAATCTACGTATTGGAACAAGGTGAGCGATTCATTCCTCAGGATCGGAAACGCTGTATATTCCAAAACTCTATTGCAATAACATTCCATTTGGCAGATGTGACCTGTTAAACAATTATACAAGTAGCACGGCAGTGAGGGAAGCCCATAGATGCACCTGGAGAGCGGGAAGAGGCTCAGAGGTGGTAAACTGCAAAATAGTTGCCCAAATCACAATATTGTCCAGAGTCAGACCTAGGGAAACCCTTCCTGTATCCTTGAAGGCGCCCAAGTTCTCACGCTTCCTGGCATTCTATTGATTCACACTTGCGTCCTTCAACAGGTAGCGCCAATTACAGCCCCCAAAGCCCCCCAGCATAGTGGCCAATACCGCTGTCAATCAAATACTTCACCTGCCTTTCTAAATTTTCCCCTCCCCCTTTCACTGGCGCTTCTTTTGACCTATCCACAAATTTCTTCCGCGCCTCGCACCGCGGAACTTGGCTATTTGGAGCCTAGGATTGGAGCCTAGGCTACTCCCGCCCTTTGACGTACTGGAGCTCTCCGCCCCTTTCGCGGGCCCCTAGCAGCCAGGGGAGAAGGGGCGGGCGAGCGAGGGGGTGGTTTGGGGGCGGGGCTTGCCTCCCAGGGCGGGAGGGCGGAGCCTGCGGTGGACACTGCCTGCTCCGGTAGGACCTCGGAGAGCGCCGGGCGCCGCTACCAGAGGGACTGGAGAAGCGGCCGGAGCCGGGCCGCACCGAAGCCTGCGAGCCCGCATCCTTCCGCACCCTCAGCTTTCCGGGCTGGCAGGCGGATAGTGGCGGCTGAGGAAGGTGCCTAAGTCGGGAGTCAGTCATCCCTCTGGGACACCGACGCCGCCGTCCAACCGCGGCTCCCTCACACCTGTGTGTGTGTGTGTGTCTGTGCGCGTGAGCGCCCGCGCGCGTATGTTTGCGTGTGCTCCGGCTGGGCGCGCGAATGTCTGTGTGAGGGTGTTTGCGTGTTAGCGCGCCCGCGGGCGAGAGCCCGGCGCCTAGGCGCTCGGCCCGGGGAGGGACCGCGGGAGCGGCAGCTCTCCTTGCCCAGCAGGCTGTGGCGGGACTCGGGCCGCAACCGTCGTCACCACTGCCTCATGTCCCCCAAGAGCCACCGCAGTGCTGCGGGGAGAGCGGACGGGCGGGCTAGCGAGGCGGCGGCTGCGGGCAGAGCGGGGCGGGGGTGGTGGTGGTGGTGGTGTGGAGGGTGAGAGCAGGGGTGTGGGGACAGAGACTCGGGGAGGGAAGGGGGAGACGGAGGGGGAAGCGGAGGCAATCGGCGCCGCTGCTGGCCCCTTCCGTCGGCTGTTGCTGTGGGTCACCTGGCAGGTGTTTTGGGGTCCGGGCTGTTCCGGGTGGAAATGGAAAAAGGCCCCCTCACCACCCCGCGTTTCCTGTTGAGAAAAAGGGAGCGTTGAAGATGATGAGGGAGAGCCCAGAAGGTGGTGGCAGAGTAAATACGAGCTCTCCCCCACCACCATTTTTCTGAAAATAAAATACTGTGAGCTCAACCTTTAGGAGGAAAGCCCACCTTTAAGAAAGAGAGTCTTGGTCTGATGGACTCTGGTTTGATTGTATAATAATGATGATATAATGCTAATGACGATGATGACACTGCCTTTTATTTTTACCCCGGTGCTGATAAAGCGTAGCTACAGCTGGGGATAAAGCCCTTGAAAATTTGGTGTCTGAGGAGGGAATACTGGTGCTTTTGGAGTTGTGTTTTCTTTTTCTTTTTCAAGGATATGCTTTTTAGAATTAAAATTTGACCAAAGGTTGATTTTTTTCCTTTTTTTAACTCATTTAAAGCCAATGCTCGTAAAGTGCGGACTGGCTACTGCCATGACTGATGAATAGCTAAACACTTTTACCCACGTATAATTCCATGTGTTAAGTCACCCTTTCCTTTGAATTTCTCAACAGTTTTAAAAATGAAGAAGTTTAATTTCCGAAAAGTTTTGGATGGCTTAACTGCCTCCTCCCCTGGCAGTAGTAGCAGCAGTGGCAGTAACAGTGGTGGCGGGGCTGGAAGTGGTTCCATGCATCCAGGAGGGACTGCAGGGGTTCTCAGAGAGGAGATTCAGGAAACCTTGACTTCAGACTATTTCCAGATTTGTAAGGTAAGTTTTGAATTGGCTTAAAGCTTATTATTTCTTTATTTTACTACTGTGAGGAAAGAATTAAAACACTCTAGGGGCTGGAAATTGTTGAGATGCCAGTATCAGAGAGTCTGGTGCAGAGAATTTTGTGGGTAGGTCAGTTTGAATTAAGATATTCCAAGCATCAACTTAAAAAGCAATGATAGTTTAAGAGGGAAATAAGCAAACATAAAAAGTAGACTCTGCAAGATAATATTAAGGCCCATTAATGGACTACTTTTTAAATTTAATATTTATGTATAAATAGTTAATCCCATGCTGTCATTCAGAGAAACTAATTTTATTTCACTGTTCAGTAAGCTATTTAGATGTTGCTAGAATTAAGTAGATAAGAGCTAGATGAATATGTCCATTTAAAAATATCTAATGGCAGTGTTTAAAATTCTGAATAAAAACACACCCAGATTCTTAAATTCTTAATAAACAAACAAACAAATGCTATGGGCTTAATACTTGTAAGAACTCAAAAATAGCCTGTGTTCTGGTTTAGTGAGGAAGCATTTTCGGTAATTATACTTTAATATTGAACTTCTAGTAAATAAGCAAAAGAAAGAGTTTCTGATGGGGAGAGATGAGAATTTACAAAACAAGCATTGTGTTAATATATAGAGATAATTGTTTTATTTTCTGACATCAAGTGATTTATAATTTTTATTGTCCTTTTTTGGGGGTAGCCTAAGAATGTGCTTTTGACGTGTCATGTGCAGTAAGAAAGTTACCAAGTCATTCATATGATGCAGATGAATATAGTTTTATAAATGTGTTTGAATACATGAGAAGAAATAGTAAATTTTTGAAATTAAGTATTACAATTTTCAGTAATTCAACACAAATTTTTTGAAATTATTAAAATTATTTTTGTAGTAAACAGATTATGTGTAATGGGATAAGTTTCAATTATTCCCTTAATCTCTGTTCCCAGTAGGGTCATTATAAAAACAAATCTATAATTACTAAAATATTATAGATTACATAAAAGCAAGTTTATTTAGAATTAGGTTAAACAGATTTAATTCTAATCTACCCTGTGAAATTTGTATACAGTACAATTTTGTATACAAAGTTGTATACAATTTTGTCCTCACTTTGAAATAATAGACATTTTGTCAGATTAGGGAGGAGCTTAATAGTGGTCATGAGGCAAATATGTGAAAGGGTCCTAAAGGCCAAATTTGAACTGCTAAGCAGGGGACTTAGGCCCTGATTCTCTAATCTTTGATGTATTACTATTACCATTCCAAGAATCTTAAAAAATTTCCAAAGTCTCTCAGTTCGTGAATATGATAGTAATGCAGGATAGTTTTAGTAGAGGTAAACTTGATATAGAAAAGATAACTTTCTGAAACAGAATGGCATTGGACTGTTGATGGTATAAACTGGTAGAGAAGGTCTTAAGTAAAACATTTCAGGGGAAATGGGTGAATGCAAGAGAGGAAAATGGGATAGATAATCACTTTCCTATTTATTTAGGCAAGACAGTCGTGCAAAGTGGCTGAAGTTAAATATGTATTACTTCAAAAACACATGGGATGGTAGGAAGAACACTGGCCTAGGAATCAGAAAATTTATATTTTATTTAAAGCTCTGCCACTTGCCAGCCACATATTCTTTGGAAAGCCATTTATCTGCCTTGTGACTTGATTTTCTCATCTGTAGTAGGGTAATAAGTATTTCTGCTCTTCTTACCTAAGAGGGTAGTTGGGAAGATCAAACAAGACAATTAGGTGAAGGCAATGTATAAGTTGGAAAAGGCAATGAAACGCATATTTATATGATTGTTAAAGTTTTAAAATCACCTTGTTCTTGGTGGAATGACTATAACCAGTGGGTTATAAAATATTAGGTAACAATATTCAAAGAAATTATAAGGATAGAAAGCTATGTGAGCTGAACACTAATAGTATTGAAATCTCACTAAATGGGGAAAGTTCTGTGACATCTTTAGATAGGAATATAGTTAATTTAAAAAAGTGGTTATATGACTTTAGGTTACCTGGACTGTAATAAAATGTGTAAAGATGCATTAAGGAAACTCCAAAATTAAAACTGTTACTAAAATGGGGAATTAATTTGGACTCACTGATTAGATGTGCAAAGAACATTCTATTCTGAGTACTAAGCAGTTGGTACCTTCTGAGTACTTCTACTTTTTCATTATGGCCAAAATTAAAGTACAAATCAAGAATCTGCTCTTTTGAAAACTATCTTCCTCTCTATTATTTGATTAGTTGTCAAATTCTATCCTATTTCCTTAGTATTTTTACAATTTATTCCCTTCTCACCATCTCCAGTACTTGTTCATTCCACCATATTTTCTTGCCTGGTCTCTTCTTTTTGTGTGTGTGTGTGTGTGAAATTTATTTTGGATCTATAACATGTTTACTGATTTGAATAAGGCTTATTTCATTAACATGTAATTTCCCCCCTGTAACTGTTACTAATAATGCACTCTGTTGAATCTCTCTCTGGTATCAGGTTCTCTTTAACAATTCAGTCCAATTTCATAACCTTAAAAAACACCTTTATTGTGAAAAGGAGGGATAAAAAGTGTTTAAAAAGCTTCTCTGACTGCACCTTGTTTTATAGTTTTGATTTTGGAACCATGTGAACATTTCATATAATTAAAAAATTCGGATCAAAAAGGAAAAAAACTCCTACAAATCTGAAACAAATGGATACAAATGAACCTAGGAGTATATAAAATTGATAGTATAAACCACACAGAAAAAAACAGTTATTTCAAATGACATTAAAACTCAAACTTTTGGGCTTCCCTGGTGGCGCAGTGGTTGAGAGTCCGCCTGCAGATGCAGGGGACACGGCTTTGTGCCCCGGTCCGGGAAGATCCCACATGCCGCAGAGCGGCTGGGCCCGTGAGCCATGGCCACTGAGCCTGCGCTCCGCAACGGGAGAGGCCACAAGAGTGAGAGGCCCGCGTACCGCAAAAAAAAAAAAAAAAACAAACTCAAACTTTTAATGGACCTCCATGGTGAGGTATATCCTAAAGAGCAAAAAGAACCACAATGAAATATTCAGTTGCAATTCATAGTTCTTTTTTTTTTTTTTTTTGACCACACAGCTTGTGCAAGTGAAAGCATGCAAGTGAAAGCTTGGAGTCCTAACCCCTGGACCACCAGGGAAGTCCCACAATTGATAGTTCTGTTGTTAGTAGTAATACTAGTCTTGTAGCTTTGAAACTATTTTACGCATAATATACCTTATATATGTATATGTTATGTATATGCATAAGCAAATACACAGTCATGTTAATGTCATTAAAACCAAGATTTTCAGTGTGAAAGCAAAGGGATACAAATATAATAATTGACGATTTAATTGTTCACTTAAATTGGAAATATCCATATGAATGCATGATTTAGTTTTCTTTCTGAAATTCACATATTTCCTAGCTTTATTTACTGAGAGGGCATAGAAATAATGACAGTCTGGTAGAAGTGAGCATCCCCAGTGCTGATCATAGTCTCTAAAAGCCATTTCTCAACAAAAGGAAGAAGAGTTCCTTGAAAAAAATGGCTGATTCTACATCTGGGGCAGGAAATGTACCAGATGAGCTTGATACCTCTTGCTATGCCAGAAAGCAGGAACGCTATCAATACCACTGGGATTGTGTGGATACAGAGGTCAACTTCAAGGAGTTCACATTGGCCAAATTTGGGACAATTTGAGCCTTGAATACTGCAATGTATAAAGCATAACGTATACAGGCATACCTCATTTTATTGTGCTTTGCTTAATTGCGCTTTGCAGATACTGTGCTTTTTACAAATTGAAAGTTTGTGGCAACCCTGCGTCAAGTAATTCTCTTGGAACAATTTTTCCAACAGCATTTGCTCATTCCATGTCTCTGTGTCACGTTTAGGTAATTCTCACAATTATTAAAACTTTTTCATTATAATTATATTTGTTGTGATCTGTGATCCGTGATCTTTGATGTTACTATTGTAATTGTTTTGGGGCACCATGAACCTGTGCCCATTTTTTTTTTTAACATCTTTATTGGAGTATAATTGCTTTACAATGGTGTGTTAGTTTCTGCTGTATAACAAAGTGAATCAGCTGTACATATACATATATCCCCATATCTCTTCCTTCTTGTATCTCCCTCCCTCCCACCCTCCCTATCCCATCCCTCTAGGTGGTTACAAAGCACAGAGCTGATCTCCCTGTGCTATGCGGCTGCTTCCCATTAGCTATCGATTTTACACTTGGTAGTGTATATATGTCCATGCCACTCTCTCACTTTGTCCCAGCTTACCCTTCCCCCTCCCTGTGTCCTCAAGTCCATTCTCTAGTAGGTCTGCGTCTTTATTTCCATCCTGCCCATAGGTTCTTCATGACCATTTTTTTTTTTAGATTCCATATATATGTGTTAACATATGGTATTTGTTTTTCTCTTTCTGAGTTACTTCACTCTGTATGACAGACTCTAGGTCCATCCACCTCACTACAAATAACTCAATTTCATTTCTTTTTATGGCTGAGTAATATTCCATTGTATATATATGTGCCACATCTTTTTTATCCATTCATCTGTCGATGGACACTTAGGTTGCTTCCATGTCCTGGCTATTATAAATAGAGCTGCAATGAACATTGTGGTACATGACTCTTTTTGAATTATGGTTTTCTCAGGGTATATGCCCAGTAGTGGGATTGCTGAGTCGTATGGTAGTTCTATTTTTAGTTTTTTAAGGGACCTCCATACTGTTCTCCATAGTGGCTGTATCAATTTACATTCCCACCAACAGTGCAAGAGGGTTCCCTTTTCTCCACACTCTCTCCAGCATTTATTGTTTGTAGATTTTTTGATGATGCCCATTCTGACTGGTGTGAGGTGATACCTCATTGTAGTTTTTATTTGCATTTCTCTAATTAATGATGTTGAGTATTCTTTCATGTGTTTGTTTTGCCTGGTCTCTTGAAATCACTTCCTAACTGAT